TTAATAAATATATATATATTATAATAATTTTTTATTATTTGATTTAGAAACAATAAAATAACAATTTTATAAAACTTTGTTTTATTAAATTGTAATTCTTGAATCAAAATTTATTTTTACAAAATTTAAATAAATTATAGTTGTGTTTTTATAAATATATTCTATATATATAAACAATAGTGCTAATATATTTAAAAAATTTTTATTTTATATAGCTTACCAGTATATATATCTGTTAATCCATTATCATAATTTTGATTGCAGTAAGTTATTTATCAAAATTCTTATTCTTATATTTCATAACTAATTTAATATATACTATATAGTCTAAATAAAAAAATTACACACTAGTTAAAACTATATTAATAGACTACTAAATATGCTAGATTTATATAGTTTTTATTGGCATTCTGTCAATATTTAACTAGTATTCAGTCTGCAAACTAGCTGAATATTATCAGAACTTGCAAAATACTTACAAGAAGATTATTTAAAGTATCAGAATACATTCTATTTTTGAGTTTAGTTTTGATAAGGTTTTGTTTTGAAAATACACATTCGACATAAGCATTAGAAAGAGGTAAGCACAGTATAATAGAGATAATAGTGTAGAAATTAGGATAAATTAGAACAAAGTCCTAATTATCACGTAGAAAATTATGCTATGCAATAGTAATATGCAAATGATGGTAATTAAAAAGAAGTGAATGAATAACTCTCCACTCTTGAGCAAGACCATCAGCATCAATAATTTTTGATATTCATTTTCTAAATATTTTATAATTTTTATACAATTAAAGGATTATAAGTATTAATTAAACTAAAATCAATATGCTATTAAGAGAAATCCTGTTATTGGACTTTTAGTTATATTTTGTACTGAATATAATCATAAACAAATTAAACTAATTTTGTCTAGTACTAACTATAATAAAAAGCCTAATGATAGGAGTATTCACTAAATAAAAATTTTTATGACCTGCAATTAATTTAGAAGTTTCATAAAATTTATCAATTTCAGCAATTTCATAATTTCCATAGGTTGCTAATAAGTACCGATCTGTAGATAATTGTTTTAGATCAAAAATTTTTAATGAATTTACAATTACCTGGTCTGGAAAGCAAAGCTTAATATTTTTTACTGTATTTATAGAAAATTCTCACACAAATAATGGAAGGTTATTAGGTGAAATGCTATTTTGGTTAATAAATCGTAATAGTATAGTTCCAAATGTAGGTTGAATATTTGTTGTACCAATAAAATCAGTTGTTATAGACTCAATAATTGCATCTACTTGCATAGTTACTTCTAAAACTAAAACATAATTAGCTTGAAAAACTAAAGAAAGGTGACAAAGTTGTAAAAGTATATTAGCCAGAAAATGAGTTGCAATTAAAAAATCTTGATCAATACTTTCATAAAGCCATTGTACAGTTTTTTGGCCTTTATATGAGTCTTCCAATAATGTACTAATTACTGAGTTAATGATTTGATAAAGATTAGTAACAACATTGCTTAATGAAAGCCATCAGGATTTAATAACTTGTAAAACATTTAGATTAGATTCATCTAAATGATTTTGAATTATTTGCAAGATTTGAAGTCATGAATATGATCAGCTAAAATAGCTATATATTTGTCAAACAATTTCATTATAAGTTTCAAAATATGTAGTTTGTTCAGCTGCATCTTTGGAAGCAAGTGCTAAATGGTGACTTATACAATGATGCTTAGTAAGAAATAGAAGACGAGCTTTTAATTGTGTTGCTATTTTATTTACATATCCTATATTGATAGTTAATAGGTAAATAGAAATTAAATAAATAGTTAAAATGATACTTGTAATAAATTTAAATGAAATTAGATTAAAATAAAAAATATATATATTATAAAAAAATCAACAAGCCAATGAAAAACAAAAATTTTTTGGCTATATTTTTTGGGTTAGAGATTAAGATTAGAGGTTAGTTTTAGAATAGAGTTTATATTAAACAAGTATAAGTATATTTTAAAAAGTTAAATAGAAACCCATATTTTAATTTAATCTGATTTTATTATAATCTGTGACAATACTTACCTAAGTTTACACTCACACTATCACTTCCAACATGGTAAAGTTTTTCAAGTGGTAAATGTTTAGCAATAATAAATTGGTCTAAGTCTTCAAGAATTGCATTTGATGAAGCACTTTGAAGTTTAATAATACCCAAATAATGAAAAACAGGTACATTATGTGATATATGCCATGAGACTATAGCAAGATTTTTTCATTAGAAATTGTATTGCTTTTATCAATTATAAGACCTCATGCTACAGATTTTTGTAATTCATCAAGTATAGCTTCTTCAATAATATATGCAATTGCTACAATAAATCATCTGCTAGCATGATCATTAATATATAAACCATATTCACTATGGCTAGATTGAATTGAAGTTGTATTAAAGTTTAATTTAGATAAACTTAAAAGACTTGTATCGCCTGGTAAATATTATCTTTAGAATTCTGAATTTGCAAATCAACAAGATGACATAAATCTTTAAAAATAAGTGCAGCAAGATTATGCTTTACAAGAAAGTAAATATTCATTATTTTTCTTATTGTTTGTAATTAGTCAGATTCTATATAATATAATATGCTAGTTACAATACTAACTTGATTTTTACTACGTGCATTTGCAACTTTTTTATGATTATTTCACTCCATATATCGTTAAAGATACTGCTCTTTAAAATATTCTGTACTAGTTACAAAAATATTATTACATTTTGCATCAATATACCACATATAAACTATATATTTACTATTTTGTTACATTACTAAATCAACCTATGGATAAGTTGGTTTCCAATTTGGATTCCATTTTAAATTTTTTTTAGCAAGATATTCATGTTTAAGTTTTTTAGAATTAATATAATTATTGATTTTATCTTGCTCACTATCAGAAACTTCACTAATAGTAATATTATCATCAGTATCATCAAAATCAAAATCTTTGCTGAATAAGCTTTCACTTTCATTATGTAATGCTTCTTTTTGTTTAGATACTTGTGTTGTGAAACCAAATGAAGTAATTTTGCTTTGCTGTTGTTTGTCATTATTTTTGAAATTAGACATTTTTGATCTGAAATAAGAAAAGTAAAAAACAATTCATTATTTAATAATTGCTCCTTTTCTAGATTTACTTATAAAATTCTAATACTTTCTCAATTTTATCTTTGGTGCAATAACTATATATTTTTTTCATGTGTATTTAATCTAATAAATTCAAACTATTATAAATTTATTCTACATTTTTGTGCACCTTGATATAGCTACTCCTAATTTGGTTTTATTACTTAGTCATTATTATATTTAAAATAATTATTAATTATTTACTTTTTTTGAATTAGTATATATATACAGGATATATCAGGGCCAAACCAGTTTGATTCTAAGAGTAGTGATTAACATTAGTATTAGCTAAGCAGACCAAATTGTAGAAAAAGCATATAAAATCAGAATCAGATAAGTATAATTTAATAAACTGCTTAGTTTGAAATTTTAATATATAGTAAGTGCTAATAATAGAATCATCAACAGGATTAAGTTGTATAAGAAAGCATATGAAAATTAGATAATTTAATCTTAATTTACTGCCTAATTTGAAATTTTGATACAATTACCAATAATTATTGCGACTATGATGTATGATGTACAAGTTTAATTAGTATATATGAACAAATTTTTTTTTAAACTTACTTATATATGAGAACACAAATATTATTTTACTGTGTGCAAAATATTTTTAATAGAGAATAGCAAAAATTTTAAATGGTTTAATTGTGTTCTCATAAGAATGCTAAGAATACTAATTTTGAATACTAGTTCTGTCTTGGCCTATATAGATAATACTCTGTAGATTGTATTAAGCTAAACAAAGCTAATAAACATTCTTACTATTGCCAACTCCTTTTACAACATGGCAAATATTCAAGTTACCTTATTTAAATATATCTTGTTCTCTAATACAGTCAGATCTTTCTAAATGCATGCTCTTGAAACCACACTTTAATACAGAAGGACCTCTCTAAATACACCCCCTCGGGACCATAGTAAAAAATTTCAAAAATGTGCACTTAGAGAGGGTGTGCATTTATAGAGAGCAAAATAT